TATAACTTCTACATGTATGGATTTAGTTTTCTTGATTAAAGATATTTCTTATTTTTTTGATAAAATCTTTATCTATAAAATAGGCTAAGGCTCTTGAATCTAATAATATAAAGGCTTTGTGATTTTTAGGTCCTAAACACATATCTATTATAAAACAAGGTGGAGGATCTAATGAGAGAATAGGATCTTTATTAGAAGTTGCACATGATTCCAGCTTCACTGTCCTTATTATAGTTAGAAAAAACTTATTTTTTAACACATTTTCTTCTTTGGCAATCATGATGTTCATTTTGTAATAGCATTTTTTCTTTAAATAATTTTGAGTAGTATATTTAGCTTCTCTATAATATAAGCATAAACCTTCTTGACAATGTTGAATCTTTTCTTGCTCAATGAAGAGCTTAAAATATGTTGTATTAATTTGTATTAGTTTTGGCCTTGATAAATAAGCTTTTCAAAACTTGAAAGTTGCCATCATTACTTGGCTTATTCCTCTCTTGTCAAGTCTTTGTTCATAACACCTTTGAAATAATTAATTGTCACATGAAATGGTTTTAATAATAAATTATTCTAATTTTTTTTATTTTTGGCATTGTTAATAACAAATCTTTGATGTTATTCTTCAACTCATATCAAAATTGATTGATAAAGGCTTTGTCATTCTAGTCCACATTGCAAGCAAGGTTTTGAAATTCAGCAGCCTATATGGTGGTTGATTGAGATCTTTGTTGTAAAGATAAGAGCTTGATCTCTACTATTCTTTTTTTATTATTTTTTTTAAATGTGGCTGTAAACTCCTCTAGGAATGAATTCAAATCATAAAGGAGTCATAAATCCTTTCCCATCAAAGATGCAAATCAAGAAAGAACACTTTCATATAGAAGTTTACATATGAATCCAACTTGAATAAATCCATTAAGATATTAGAAGAGATGCAACCTTAAATAGAGCTTGAATTTTTTCAAAAATCCTCAAAATTTTGATCTTGTTCCATCAAAATTCTTGGGCATACTAATTCTTTTTCTTGTCGTACTTGTAAAAGTAAAATTTCTTGGATTTAATTGCAAAGTCAATTTACTTGCTTCTTTAAATTATAAAAATTCTTGATATAGACTTTGAACTTCTTCTATAGGCATAGGATTAGTATTTCTATGGTTAGTGCTCGTAATGCATGAAATTTCTACCCTAAGAATATTGAAAAGTTCTTAAAGATCAGTAATAGTTGTAAATCTATCTATTTTTACATCTGCCAAGTGTAGCATCCATGATTTTTCTCTCCCTTTCAAACATCTTAATAAATTTACAAGTTAGATTAGAAGAAGGTAATCTGCAACCTCTAATATCAAATAAAAATTTCTATAAAGAGGGATAATTTGCTCTCTTTAAAAAAGATATTAATTTTAGAAAATTAAATAATTTATTTAAAAGTTGATAATCTACAACCTTCAAAATACAATAATAGAAGTGAAATAATCCACTTGATTCTAAAAAACCAAGAATATTGAGTTAACATTCTTGTCAAACTATCAAAGATATGAATCTCAAAGAACTAAAATGTTAATATATACTTGTCTCATTCAAAAAGACTAGAAAATCACTAAAAGATGATGTAGCATTAAATTAAAATGACTATAACCAAAGACAAGAAGACTAGAAATTCTTGAAATAAGACTAAAGACTAAAAAGGCATTGACAAGAATGAAGAAGGCTTTACTCTTGTCTCTATATATACTCTTAACTATGAACTACATGGTGATGTCCTATAAGACCTCCAAAACATATTGACTTTATAAGACACGTATCTTAACTTGCAATGTAAGTTTTTTATATGAATTTTACATAATTAGCTTGATTTACAAGCTACCAATACGTGATTAACTTGTTGATCAAGTTTGTAATCTATTAATCAACTACAAATACATATAAAGTCAAAAAAAACATCTATGAAGCTTCTAGAAGGCTTTTCTAAAAAAATATTAAGAATAAATTTATTTTTATTTATTTCTACTTAATCATATAAGTAAATATTTGAATAAGTATGTATGTATGTGACACCTTAATACCAATCATTTAGAGCCAATATTTCTTATTTTGCACATATTTTATAAATAAATATTTTTTATAGATTTTCTAAATTTTATTTCAATTCTATGGATGGATTGCTACAAATCTTTGAAATCCTCACTATCTCTCTAAACTTCAAATTTTAAGATCCTAATCCACTCAAATTTCAATAATCTTTTTAATTGTTTAATCGAGCTTGAACTTTTAATATATATTTAATATATTTATAATCACAAAGCCAAAAAAAAATCATCTATAAATCTACTACAAATGTCATGAAATGCTTCAAAATATAAATCTTTTTTATTTCAAAAGATATATAGTCACATCAAAACAATCCTAACTATATAAACCTTTGACTATGTCATTATAAACTGAAATCTCTTAAAACCAATTCTCAAAAAATCTCTTGTTTGCTCCCAATCCCTATACTTTG